TTGTCTGAAACCAGTTTTTTGTGGTTTCACACAAATAAACCAGTTTTGTTTGCATGAAACTTGGTTTATTTGTCTGAAACCAGTTTTTTGTGGTTTCACACAAATAAACCAGTTTTGTTTGCATGAAACTTGGTTTATTATGAAGTTAAATTCATGCTATAGCATTGCACACAAATTAAACATGTTTCACAAACTGTCCTCAAACTTTGTGCACACACACACAAAACATGTTGCACATAAATAAAACAAGTTTTGAGCAAATCAAACATGTTTCACACAAACAAACCAAGTTCCATACAAATAAAACTGGTTTCACACAAATAAACCAGTTTTGTTTGCATGAAACTTGGTTTATTATGAAGTTAAATTCATGCTATAGCATTGCACACAAATTAAACATGTTTCACAAACTGTCCTCAAACTTTGTGCACACACACACAAAACATGTTGCACATAAATAAAACAAGTTTTGAGCAAATCAAACATGTTTCACACAAACAAACCAAGTTCCATACAAATAAAACTGGTTTCACACAAATAAACCAGTTTTATACAAATAAAACAGTAGTGTTTTACAAACAATCCTCGGGTACAAAATGATCTCTCCTCACACACAAAACAGCCTCTCCTCACCTGGGGTGGAGCCAGGGGTGGAGCCAGGGGCGGAGCCAGGGGTGGCCATGGCCACCAGAGACAAATCTTTGGCCACCCTGCAGTACACACCCCTTCCCTTTAGGGGTGTATTTATCCTCCTGATCAGTTGGTGGCTCTCTCACGCAAAGAAGAAGCTGTATGTGAACACTATCCAGAAACATTCTCCTCCCTCGACCAAAGATCCTTTAAAAAAATCATCTTAAATGGTTTTTAACAATATATTTATGCTTTCACAGAACACAGAATCTATTAAAACGTTATTCTACAGGCCTCTGAGATGATGTCACTGTTCAAACGCAGCTTTGTGTGTTTTCACAGAAACGGTACAAGGAGATCATGCAGGAGCAGAAGGAGCATAGGAAATGCATAGAGGAGGCGCAGGACCTGACCCGGCAGTTCAAGCAACGCACCGAGAAACTCAAACAGGATGTAGAAGAAGAGGAGCGTTCCTACAAGAATCAGATTCAAACTGAAAAGGTGCATTCTCACATTTGAACTACTCTCTGCTTCTGACTGACGTCTGGCCAAATATAATTCATCTGTTGTCTGTAAATCTGCAGGCGAGGCTGGATTCACTGAAGAAGGACGAGGCTGAGCTGATGGGGCAGATCCTGAAGATCCAGGCTGAGATAGGAGAGGAGCAGAGGCGGAACTCCTGCCTGAAGGAGCGAGCAGACGTAGGTCATCCCGACTGACGGTTCGAGGCTCCGCCCTGCAGCCGCACCTGCTCTAAACCCCCTTCCTGCTGGTTCCAGGTGTTCTGCGCCATGCCAGAGAAGAAGTTCGTCTTCAGGGGAAAGACGGGGGACGTAAAAAACTGGCAGAGGTTTGACATGAAGTCTCAGATCGTCTACCCGATGGACGGAGGGACGGCTCTGATCACGTTTGAGGAGGAGGACGGTGAGTTCGTGTTCGACCAAAAACTGAGATTTTGACTGATTTCACAAAAAAACAAGATTTAAAATGGGAAATATCCTAGTTTTTATTTAATTCTATTAAAAACAGTAAAAAAAAACACTTTGAGTTTGTGATTTATAATTAAAGAGGACCCATTCTGGTTTCTTGAACAAGTTAGAATACAACTGTGGGCGATACAAAACATGTTCAWTAAGTTTAAAACACAAAATCATTGTCAGATGATGAGATTTCACCTGGTCAGTTCTGCCTGTTCTGAGCTGTTTCAGAACGAGCTCTTTATGCAAATAAGCTGCTGTTGGCAACACCCTCCCAACCTTTTGTTTACGTTAGCGCTGCCCTCCCAACCTTTTGTTTACATCAGTGCCGCCCTCCCAACCTTTTGTTTACGTCAGCTTTCCTGTCCCAATGTTTTGTTTACGTTAGCTCCGCCCTCCAAACCTATTATTTACGTTAGCTCCGCCCTCCCAACCTTTTGTTTACATTAGCTCTGGCCTCCCAACCTATTATTTACGTTAGCTCCACCCACCAAACCTATTATTTACGTTAGCTCCGCCCTCCCAACCTTTTGTTTACA